GCCTCGTGACTCTTTCAAATTGTATTCTAGCTAACGAAGAAGAAGGACTGTGTCTCGCTTGTGAGAAAATCTACACAAGAGACGAACTGGATACTTTTTGAAATGAATGAAATTCAACCGCGGGGAATGTTGTTCTACTAGACAACGTAGGATGAAGTTCAAGTACGAGGCGAAGGGAAGTGTAGTACTGGTAAGGAATGTTGAAGGTTCCAATATAACTCTCTATCTAGCAACGAAGATTTCTTGGTAAAGAGATTAATCGTTGAGGTCGATGAACTATATTAAGATCTCGGTGGCTAGCACGAAGAGTCCTTGACCTTGACCGATCGTTCAAATATTAAAGATGGCAAACGATGGCCGATCTCTACGTTCTTTCAAGCTTTTCTTCCCGAAAGGAAGACGATAAGTGACATCTCGAGTGACGCTTCATTAACACCCGCCTAGAGACTGACATATTACAACCCAGAAGAACGTTGTATCCTCTATCACGTTCTCCTCCTATCTCTTAGCTATACCTTTCCCTTTTTTCTTTCCTTGTTCCTCTTCTTCTTTATATAAGAGCATCATCCAGTCGATGAGTCGACTCGGAGAACGGACGTACACTCAATGGGCCTGATGTCCCGGATAGGAGCCAATGAACCTATCCACCGCAACCCCGCAGGCTCATTATCGCCTTCCAAGCCATGAACATAGATAGAGTGGCACATAGTGATCTCTCATCGGCATTCCCGCTCATGAAATCGATCGAACCTACGATCGTCCTGCGGCTAACTATAGAAAAACATTACTTAGGATATGTTCTCAACGCGGGGGTTGTTGTCGAAGGGTGAGATAACAATGTGGATTCGTTTTCTAGAGTTATATATCACTATTTTCTAGACTATTTTTAGACATCAGTGGGGGAAGCCTGGCCTGCTATACTCTACAACGTGAAATAAGATATCCAGATGAATCTGTACTTTTATTTTGGACCATTATCGATCGAAAGCACTTGTGCATTAGCAACAAGATGAAAAATATAGACAGGAACTAAAGACCTTAAAACTATGGAGGACTTTAAACGACGTTAGTAACCATATGATAAGATTTATTTTTACTCCGGCGATTATTGCAGCATGGTTACGTGGTGCTTCGTTGAAACGAAAGATTAAAATGATAGAATATAGGCACAGTCTTCATCCTGTCATTGAAAATCGCGTTAGCGCGAGGGTATATGCTCCTTGGTAAATCATTTTCTCCTTTTCACGATCAGAACACGAGCGTTGACAAGTCCTATCAGGAACGAGTCTATTAAATCTACCAGAGGAGGGAATATCTTCCGCGACTATTACCATTCCGGCAGATCGTAAGTTATCTTCGTTGACAGTAGGCTTGCATAGAAACGTCTTCGCTAGGGATACCACAAGACTTGTACTTACTCACTTCGATATTCTTTCATTTCTATTTTCCATTTCTTTCCTTATATCTTCCATCTGTGTTCCTGCTATTGTCAACTCGGGTTCATTGTCGGATGTCAGTGACGTTGTAAACCCGATAAACAGACAAGCTTCTATCTTTGACCACGAGAAATAAGGAATCGAAAGCCGTTAATGAGATCTCAAAGAAACTAAAACCTGACGCAACTACCGATAGCGAAACGTTACGCGTTTTCTCCCTTTTTCGAAAAATAAACAAAGGGAAAGAAAACTAGCTAGAGTAGGTACATATAAGAGAAGTAAGAGAAGATGAAAGAAAATAAAAGGGAAGCTGATGTAAAGTACGGAGGGTGTAACTGGAGGGAAAGAGGTGGATAAACCACGAGTACTAATTAACATTCGAGCTGTAGCATTCAATGCTAGGAAACAAGCGGTTCTCTCTCCCCTTTCTCTCTCTCCCTCTCTCTCTCTCTCTCTCTCTCTCTCTCTTTATCTTATTTCTCTCCCTTTTTTCTTTCTATTTCTTGATCGCTCTCGTTCTCTACCAACTTGTGCGACTACGTCACGAAAATCATCAAAGATAAGATTAACACTATTGTGATTATTTTATGCAAAATAAAATATGATCGTAAAATGTTATAAAATATCATCATCTGATGCATAATTATCACGTATAATAAGCCATCAATACGCGAGGATTTTAATTGTTTTAGACTTACATAATAAAGATTTTCTATCTAACGATAATGATTATATATTTTGTCTTTAGCATATTAAGAGAATATTATATATATCACACTATCCTCTGCCACACATACTTTATAAACGTTTACACTTTACATATAAATAGCAATAATAACGGAAGGTCACATAAAAATACTATAATGACCACCACGACATTCAATATTATAATGACCACCACGAGTTATGCATTTTTATACAGATCTCTTGTCAACAAGTTTTTATAGACTTTATTAATCACGTTATTAATGCATCGGATTATCATTTACGCTCTGCATAAATTCGATAATAAACAATCGATTATATAGAAACGGTAGATTTATAATGACTGCGACACGATCCTTCGAGAAGTAATACATCGAATTATATTGAGTTTCGATCAAACGACATGATGACTTCGGTTTAACATTGCATTAGTTGTTTTTCATTGCATTGCGCCTAGTTACATTTCATGACATGTAATCTTAAGGACTCAGGGAAGATGCAATAATACGATTTAATGTATGTAGATACTTTATTTCTACGCCGAAGGTCAGGAAGCTCTGCTACAACACATCGACACCCTACGACCTTCGAGAATCTAAGAGAGAAGATATTCGAATCTCGAATAGGTAACAACGATGCGCCGAGGCCAGGTCGACTGATATAAGAGTGTCTCCGTTGAAAATTTGCATCGCATTCCCGTAAAGCTTTTGCAGGTACCGATCGTACTACTCGACGTAGTAAGTGTGGATCTTCGTGTGGATCTCGCTTCTGCACCTGGTCTAGACAGCAACGTGCAACCGTTCTCGATGAATGCAAAGAAGAGAGACGAAACAGAGGAATACAAATAGAAAAGGAAGATGTAGACGAAGTTTCTCTCTCTCTCTCTCTCTTTCTTTCTCTTTGTCTGTTTATCTGTCTATTTTTTTCTTTCTCACGATCCCCTTTTACTTTCGAACCCTCTGCCGATCTATCCGTACTTTTAATTGTAAAGCTTTTGTTGGAATAGAATTCGAACCGGCCCCTTGAATGCTAAATCAAGATGACTGCTTTACGTAATGGTCTTAATTAAGAAAAATCAACGGACATATCCGTTTTCAACATGCCGATACTAGACGAAGTTAAAACGTTCATTATATTCTCGTTAGGCGTTCGTTACGATAACAAATAATCGAACATAATATTTCAAATCTAACGTCAAAGAATTCTATGATCTTTCAAAGGTTTTATCGATACGGCTCACTGTATGCGTTATTTATTTTGTACTCCGTAATAACAAATTTAATTGGCATTTCGAGCGAATAGTAACTAACTCGAAATCCAATCGAAATACAATCGTAAACGATCGATAATGCAATATCGAACGTCCATCCTCCGATCCAATTTTATATAGTACGGTTTCGACTAGGATAAATTGCTCCTGTCATTATACAGTCAAAGGACGCGTGTCAGAACGTAAATGTAATTAGAATGTAATGGAGAGTCGGTACTTTATAGATTGGTTACTCTGGATAAATATCGGAAAGTACGTTTTATCGATTGGATATTGCGCAAATTCTAATTTCATAGGACGTTAAATATATACGATTATTCATGATCAACATCATAGAAAACTTTTACGATTTCAACGAAAATGAAACTTGTCAATTTCAACGAGTACGTTATTTAATTAAACCGAGACGTTGACGCATGGCTATTCTCGATGGATAGTATACCCTTGCACAAACCATTGAAATAAATATCGTTATATATTCAACGTATACGGTCCTAATTAATTACATTTTTATCACGATATAACGTGGAAGCGAAAGCATGCGAAAGAACGACGCGCAATTAAAATCTGTTTTATTCGCCCGTGTATCTGCTATTAGTCTCATGATTATCGAGAGTCTCGATCGAGAACATCGCCGTTAATTCTCGAGGACGTATCCTAATAAAATAACCAAATGCACCATGTTCGATGAGTAAAAGTATCTACTACGAAAATATAATACCGCCAGGAGACGAAGAAGAAAAAAGAAGAAAAAGAAAAAAGGTGTATACTAAGTTTACAACATGAAATATCTTGGAGCTAAATGAATTTGCGAGAAAGGAAGAATCAGCTTAACGAGAATCTATCTATCGATCGCCGTGCTCGAAGGTGCATCGTGCGACTTTGATTCTGGCACACGGTTCCTGTACCACCTTTTTACTTTGAACGGATAAGTTAATCGATCGTAATTAAACGGAGCGACGCTTAAAATTGTATACGAAGAATACACGTCGATCAAGTTCTTTTAATCGCCACCATCGAATTTATCTAAGATTCTATCAAGCGCCTTGTGGAACATTTATCACAAAACAAGCAAAGAAATAGATCGTTCAACGAATTTATTCTTTTCAAGAACGATCCAAGAATTTTGTCATCTTTACATTATTGCAATAGTAATATCTGTATCAATCGGAAATATATATATTTTTATACGTGTATATATATATATATATATATATATATAATAAGTAATGCAAATTTCGAACGAATGGATATACTTAACATTTTCTTATACCAAATCAAATTTTTAAAAAAATCCTCGACGTCGTATCAAAAAGAAAATCTTTGAGAATAATTCGGCTCTCTCACAGCAGATTAAATTAATTGAAACCTCGATCGATCTAAATTTCTAAATGTCCTTGTGATTGAAGTTTGTTTTGACAAAAATCTCTCCCTCTCTCTCTCTCTCTGAGAATTTGAATGAACTTTGATTAGTATTAAAATAAAACTTACTGTTCCTTTAGATTTATTTATCTAAGTAGGTATTAATGTCAAATATACGTCACGATAAAGAAAAGATATATAAATACTCGCAAACGGATATTATCTCAAATGAATATAAGATCAAAGTTACAATTAGCATGAGGAGAATATTGCTGGTGTGCGTGCCCGTTGGCACATTCCAGAAACATACCCTTGAGACTTTGTTCCTTCTACTCTTTGCATCGTTAACAAACTTGCAAATGGTTAACATATAGCGAGTTACAAAAATCAAGTGGATGATGCCGTTTAGCCGGACGATCCAGCGATCGTTATTTAACGATCGAGGCATCGTTTGCATGGTTCATAAAAGAAAAAGTATTTAGGAAATACGATCCTGTCTCCAATCTGCATAGGAATCGAACTCGAAGAACGAAAATATCGTCAGAGTAGTCATCGCTTCCTGAGAGAGTAAACTCGACGTAATCGAGCGTCTACGACACGACAGGAACCTCGATGATTATAATGGAATGCATAGAGAAATCAATAATTCATAACGCTCATAGGTAGCAAGGAGCCTTGGGCGTTCTGCGAATTCTTCGAGTAAAATTACCTAAGGCAATAAAAAATTCTTTCTTTTCCTTTGACTATTTCTCTTTCTCTCTTTCTCTTTCCTTTTCTTTTTCTTCGATCCTTCCATCTTTTTCTATCTGAACTATACGTCACAATCGTCATTACGGATGTTATAAATCGTACGAGTCAGATATATCCAGTTTATTAATCTCAATAGATTACAAACAACATAAACTTCATTACCAAGTTAACGGGTATTTTATAACACTTTGATAAAAGGAAAAAACATGATTTTATAAATTACGGTAATACCAGCATCACCGATGTTATTGATTGATTTTTCTTCTCCATAATAACGAATGATAATAATTTCCCTCTCTCTCCCTCTCTAGAGAGAGAGAGAGAGAGAGAGAGAGAGAGAGAGAGAGAGAGAGAGAGAGAGAGAGAGAAAGAACGTCGATTGTTTCTCGTTCAATCGTAGTAAGTACTCAACGGAACTCCCGTTCCGCGATATATTGTCAACATGTACATGTTAGTCCAAATTCACGTGATATATCCGGATGCGTGCGTTGAATAAAAATATTCGGAGATAAAAAGGATGTCTTCCAAGACGGAACGTTTATTCTTCGAAAGCCTTCAGCATAAGGTGAAAAGGATTTACTCTTTTGTGTTCATAACATAACCTTCGCATTCACTTTTCGTCGTTGACCCCGACCGTTACTAACGACCTTAACATCTATCACGCGTAAAATAATCACTTTCTAAACGATCGACCATACCATTCTTCTTCTTCTTCTTTATCGAATCCGCAATACTTTTACTCGAGAGACGATTGTACCAGAGACAATGAATCAAAGTCAAAGTTTCAAGGTTAATACAGGAGTTTATTTTTAGGCTCTCGAATGTCTGGATACGTTTCCAAGTAAAGTAGTCGAGTTAAATGAAATCATTGAAGAATATATGCCGGAATCAGCGAAGAATAACGTCAACGTAAACACTAATGTAATTTATCCTCGAACGAGATCAGTATCAACGTTATCAAGTATAAGAGATTGTAAGCCGATAATTATCGATTTCGATGGTAATCATTCAACAAATATTAATTGCATTTCTCGAAATAATTTCTTAATTACAGTTGCAACTTATTATTCTCTATCGATGTGCGATCGTAATCGCACGAAACATAGAATTTATAAAAGAAAATATCATAGAATATACGGTGGTAATAACGCGACGATACGTCGATATCCTGGTGCCCTTGGCCAACTATTGGCATTTATCATAAGTCGACTAGCTTCCTGTACAAAAAAAATCGTATTCACGCCGTCCTATTTCGTAATCGACAATATCATTCCAATGTTTTTCCAAAAGTAAGATCCATATTAATAACATTAACGATTAAATATTATTTAATGATTAATTTTTACCAAGATCAGAGTTACAAAACGCACAATGTGGTACATCCTCCAACTGGAGCTCCTCCGTTCTAGATTATACGTCTAGCATCAAACAAGTTGACACAATCGTTGATACTTTTATCAGCATCATGCGACCAGCCGCTGTTCAATTAATCGCAGATATCACGATAGTAAGAAACGTCATCGAATCAAATTTAATCGATACGTTTTACATAGTGAACTCATAAGGGGTCTGATCTTATGTAGCTTAAACGTTGGCTGCAGGCCCTTGTCCTAATCAAAAATTCGCTCGAATCGATCGAATTGACGAATGCGACTCGTACCACCGAAACCATCGATTGCTGGGCTTACGAGCTCTACTTTCATCTCAAAAATCTTCAAGTGAGTATGCGCAACAATCAAATGAGGGAGGAAAAGAAAGTGATCTATACAACTGCTCGTAATTTCTTTTTTTGAGAGTAAACTTTAATGATTGTTCTTATTCAAGGCAACTCCAAAGGATTCGATGGATCGTAACGGTATGACACACTTAAATCTGTGGCATCGCATGGTCCAACTTCGTAATAATTATATTATCCTCTACGAAACATTGAATAACAATCAAAACATCTTGAATCTCGCGTCTATGGAAGTTTCTTGATTATCGTTTATTATCTACATATTTGTCTACATAAAATACGTTTAATATAAATTTATCAAATTCTTGCATGATTCATAGAGAAAGAAAACAAAAAACAAAAAACAAAAAGAAGAAGAAAAAAACTATCAAACTTTCTGATTCCTTATGAATAGAAGACGACTTCGAAACGAGATATGGAAAGAAGGTATGCAAATAGAAGGTCCGTGGCCATGCCTCTCGCCCTTTCGCTTCGACACGAAGCGATCTGACATGACTCGCCATTGTCGTTAACATTTAAACGCCGTGCCTAGGAAGGGAACGTACGCTTCACGTCGTGAATTTTTATTTAGACGATATTGCACCACCCGAACGACTTGCAGTCACCTCTCTTTCTCTCTCTCTTTCTTTCTCTGTCTTTCTGTCTCTCTCTTTCTTTCTCTCTCACTTTCTCTCTTTGTTTCTCGTCCGCTGCGCGAGTTATGGCGCAACTTACTTAACTCAGAGAAAACATCGGGCAATCTCAAGAGTTGGCTATCATCGCCGCTCTTTCAATTGGTCTGATCCTTAAGTAACGCATCCAAAGTACAAGAACAAACGTAATTATCCTTCTAATTCTCTTTGCTCTTATCTAAAGATGCATGCGGCTAAACTTCGTTCAACTACTTTTCTCCATCCCTCCATTAAATAATTTTTTAATAACGCACAATCGCACCACGAACATTAACGGACGGATTTATCATGTTCGTAATATTACCTGTCGTTTAGGATAAAGACATCATTTAGCTTCTGTCATGTTACAATGCGTAATATACTCGATGGGCTATGATAAATGATTACGTTACCCTACCCAGCTAATGAAAGAGAACGTGTACCGCCTTCTCGAGCCTCTTATAACAATAATATCTTCTACTATTTATGTTCTATCATCTTGAAATTTTTTTATTTCTATTAAAAGGAAATGTTTTTTTTAAGATATACGATCGCGTCCTCGTAACAACAACAATAACAACAACAACAACAACAAAGATCCAGTCATTGAATCGACTTTTTTCAACAGTTTAATCTGTCATCGAAGTCTGGCCATTAAAAGAATAAAAAGGTCATCGTGTGTCCAACGAGTTGACCTTTCTAATGTCATTGCTCTTTCTTTATCTCAGTATAGTTCGTAAGTAAACTACGATCGAGGAACGGATATGTACAGACACGGTAGCGTTGTTAATCATCTGCCTACGATGTGTTTATTTCAGTTTCACGAAGTTATACGCGAAGAAATCGTCGCCGATGATTCATTCGATTTTAGCGAAAGAGGTACTCGCCGTATATGGGCAAGGTCGATATCCTATTAATATATATCTCTCTCTCTCTCTCCATCCTTTTTTCTTTCTACCTTTAAACCACGAAGATAGAAATATTAACGTAGTGTCGATATAATAAGTTTCCGTGCAACGAGAAAACGGCGCTTTAAAGTTTTCTTCGTCGATTCAAAAAATAATGATAGTGTGTTTCGTATTTGCAAACTCTCTCTCTCTCTCTCTCTCTCTCTCTCTCTCGTTCGTTCGTTCGTTCGACCGTTAGTTAATATTTCGAATAACCATAACGAGAAAGGTTCGCGCAATATTTCCCTGGCGTATTTTGTTCCCACAATAAATACGCCAGTTGAATTTCATTCTCGTGCTCAGAGGATCTCCGATACCAAACTGAGTGTAAATACGTCGGTGGCAACAATCCTACGCTTTCGGAATAACACCATGAGAAAGTTGACGTTACTTTTACGCGTTCGGGTATCTAGGAGAGACCAAAGACAGACCACACAAGAAGAAGAAAATCATACTCGGACTATATCCAAAGGTTTTTATAAGTAAACTCGGTAACATCCCCCATTCTTCTTTTTCTTGATCCTACTACTTCTTCTCCTTCTCTAACAGTCCTGCAGGGCTGAGATCTCAGTATGATCGATATCGTTGATTGGGTATTTGCGGTGTTAACAAATCGTTACCAGCTGTGCTCGATGCGGCAGGTCGAGTCTGGCTTTATGATTGCACCTTCTACGTTACGTTCGAGCTTAAATGAGCAACTTGGCAACTTCGGTACCAGTATCGACTAACATTTACCAACACCAAGACCATCACAAGTCCCATCATCGTTCAAAACCACACGGATTCTCATGATGGCGGAAGCCGATCTTCTTGAATGCAGTAACTCCAGCGTTTTTCTTCATATTTTTTTTTTCTTTTTCTTTTTTCCTTTTCCTTTTACTTTATTAGAGATAGATAAGCTAAGAATATGTAATTCTCTATACATATTTATAATATCTATATACATAATATATCTATATATACATACAGGATATTTACCTTTTTTTTTTAGAGGTCGAAATGACTTTAACGATTTCTTGTCGTATTTCAACAAGTCTTTTAGAAAATTTTATAAGATGAGAATAATTATCATAACCGCACGAATATTATTTACTATTTAATAGATATTACGAGACGATATACGCGCTTAATGCACGATACCTAGGTATATAAAATATGTATTAATTTGCATTAATTTTTTTATCGAATATAAAGACACGATAATTTCGAGGTTGTACTCATCTATTGCCCTTATTTGATTTCTAATTCGTTTAAATTGTATCGTTGGTATCATTCGATTCGAAACCGTTCTGTTCAAAGTTTTTGGCACGCTTCTATTTCGAGAAGGGGCGCACGTGTACAAAAGAGACGATTTATACGTCGGACAATGTCAGAGGATAAATCGGTGACATTAGTTTCAATTCCGATCCTCTTTGCTCGGATTCATTTTGATGGACGTAAAAAGACACCAGCCGTTCGATCGTCGATCGTATCATGCACTGATTCAACGGGCTTCGTGTGTGATCTCTCCAAAATGATTGAACGTATTTACAAACTACGAGAACGTTCGAAATTATGTTTCTACGTTTTTCTATCGATAAAACCTTAGAATAAAGAATCGCACCCTTTCCTTTGCTGGCATCTCATATATATAAAAGGCCGTTTATTGTTCAAGGGAAGAAGATTTACATCCGCAAACCAGCACGATACTACATGCACGTTACTCATTTGCAATTTTAAATCGGACGCGCATGATGCATGCGACGGTGAACCTGTACGACAACGACGACAACGACGACGACGACGGTAAGTAACTGCAACTGAAATAAAGCGCAAGGTGAATTCCCAATAAACGTTCATAATTAAACTTAATTCGTCCTATTAAACTCGTTTATCTTACAATCAAACTGTCTAATAATATTCTCATATTCTCTCGGTTAATAAAAATCAAATCATATAAATAATCATTCATCTTGTTTATCATATCGGGCTCTTCCTCCTTGGACATCGTTTTCTTCTTCGAATGCAACAATGCACCGCTGAACATTCTTTCGCAACGAATACTTTCCAATAAAACGTCGAAACGTCCATTACGTATTCTATTGAAAGCCAGTCGATGTTAGAAATATTTTTAGCCTAACGTAGCCCGTAACGTTCCGCTTGAATCTTTTCCTTTCTTGTTTTATTTCTTTTTTTTTTGTTCTTTTCTTTTTATTTATAAGGTACGTCGATAGAAAAATTTCGAAGAGGCAACGCAAGGATAGGAAAACTTCTCTCGAGGAACGAATTATGGCATGAGATTGGATTAGGTATCCGTTAACGGGCCAGATAAAAGCGTTAAACGAATCTCGACTCCAACTAACCTGCGATCTTGGTTGATAATTGATCGCGAAGTAAGCTTTACTCCATACATAACAGCCTCGAACGAAATCTCTTGTGTGGCTCCATCGTGCGAACGAACGGTAGTCACGATTCTGATTACGAAGCATGTAAAACATACCAAAGACCTTAAGTGCGATAGATGGAGAAAGGTATAGAAGGATACAAAAAAGGAGAGAATAAGAGAGAAAAAGAGAATAAAAGAGAGAGAGAGAGAGAGAGAGAGAGAGAATAAAAAAGAAAGAGAGAGAGAAAGAGAATAAAAAAAAGAAAGAGAGAGAAGGATACAAATGTCGGAGAGAATGAAAGATCTTTTACTCGATAGAAACGAAGCCTAAGAGAGGGTAAGAGTAAATCATAATCAGATCCGCATCTTTCTTTCACGATGTAAAATCTATTTTCTACCTTAACAAACATCGTGTGATTTCTACAAAAAAAAAACTTATCGTTTAACACCATTTTGCTGTTAATCTAATCGGTTCGTTCGTGTATGGTATAATATTATATATGAAATAAATTTTATATATCCATGTATTCTTAGATTGCACATAATTGTTATCATTGTTAATGTAAATTGTTTTGAATAGTGATCTTACTAAGAGTAAAAGAAAAAAATAAAAAGAATATTCGCTTTTTCCTTTCGAATGTTTAAAATAAAATCTATACTAAAAGATTCTTTCGCCCTTTCCGAGAGAAAAATCTTGTATATACACGATTGAAGAGATTATACTCGTACGAATGTAATAAAGATAGTAATGACTCGTCGAGGAACCGTTAGAGATAACCACGATTTTGCTCCTGGCAATTCTTCTCCATCTTCGCACCCTGCCGATTTCTACGACGTATTCCTGACATTAGAACATATCGAACAATCTCTGATTGCGGAAAGGATCAAAGATAAAAATGCGATCGTATAATTCGCTCGTTCTTCGTAGAGGACCTCGATCGTCTTTCTCTCTCTCTCTCTCTCTCTCTCTTTCTCTCTCTCTCTCTTTCTCTCTGGTATTCCATTGATTACAAAGATTGATCTACGAAGATCGATAATCTTCCCTTCGTCGAAGGGAACGGACTATGAGTAGTTCTCTTGCTTCTTCTCTTTCTATCTCTATTTCTATTTGAGATTTACGAGCAGAGGTGAAAACGTCGGTAAGAGAAAACTCGTGGCTCGTTCTTCGAACGACGTTCAGGCTTGTCGAAGGACGAAATGAAGACGAGTCGAAGATAAATCTCGGCACGATTTCACGCCCACGGCACGCCCGAGCGATGAACGTTTCTCCTTCTTTCTTC